GGGTCAGGAGAGGTCTGCCGTGCCACGTGGGTCAGCTCCCTAGCGGGGATTGAACTCGTGCTGCAATGGCTGCAGAGAACTTCATAATGTGGTGCTTTAACCCGTTGCACCACTAGGGAGAGCCCTAAACCTTTTTGAGTTCTATTTCCCCACCTGTTGAATGGTGTCCATGTTTTTACCAACTTCCCCGGGGTGGAGGTGGTTGAGGTGTCCTTAGTTTGCTTCCTAGCAAATAGCACTTGTCCTAAACAGCCGCTAAAAGTATAGCTGATTTCAATCTTGTTTTGGAGTCTAGACTGACTCTGTTTCCACCAACTGGGCTCCAGTCGAGGATCTCAAAGGTGGGAAACCAGACTCACAGATATTGTGCCTCTCCCGTTGCCGCTGGCTTTGATCTCTAGGTCGTCCTGGGCAAAGAACTGGAAGGGAAGAAGCAAGAGTATTTGATGGCAGGGGTAACAGTAAAATGTGGCTCAGATGCAAAGGACGTAGTAAAGAAACTGGTTTTATTTTTTCTTTCTGATAGAGCATTTGTGGCATCTACTGTCACAAGTGGCTCTTGCTGCCTACTTAGGCTGTGTCCTTACATACATCTCTGCAATCTATTCACTTCGCAGGGTCACCAAAGCTTACTGTGCATGAAGCATCTTCTCCTGGCATGTCTGCATCTACTCTTGTTTTCTTCACACATTCTTACCTCATAGCCAGAAAAAGGTTTTACAAATCCACATCTAATCAAATCACCCCTGCTGAAACCCCATTGCTCATACAATAAACTTCTGAATCCTTGCCATGCTCCAGTTATTGTGCTTTGTTCCCTGCCCACTCTCACCCTCCTTACATCAGCCTTCCTGGTAATCCCACTCCCAGGGACACCTGTGAGAGCTGCAGTGTGATGTGCCAGCCTCTAAGTCATAGTGCTCTCCCCTTGCCCCCTTCATCTCGACAGTTACTATTCATTTACTGAAAGTATGTGTGATCTTACACAAATTATCTTACTTTTTGGTCTCTCCATTTCCTCAAATGAGGCCCATAAAACACCAACTTTGCAACATGATGTGTAGTGCCTAGATAATATATATTGACCGGTGCCATATTATATGTACCATAAGTATGGCTACACTAGATGTTAATATTGTCTAAGTGATAGAGTGTTCCTTCTCTACTCAAGACCATCCATGGTCACTTGGAGTGAAAATCAAAATGTCAGCTCAGGTGCGTGAGACTGTCATCACCTTCCTGCCCTCATTTCCCCTTACTCTTTTCCCTCATCACACCAGTCCCCTGTTTTTTAAATTTATTTTTGCATAGAAGAATTGAGGTGTAGGCAAGAGGTGTGCAGGGGGCGGTGGTGAAAGGGTTCACCTGTGACAGAGTAGGGAGCAGAACAGGCAGACGGACTGAAATACACTGCTGATGGGAACAGCGGGCTAGACAGGAGAGGTCTGCTGTGCCATGTGGGTTCAAACTCAGGCTGTAGCATGATAGCACTGAGACTTTACCTCTTGCCATCAGGGAGGCCCCACAAAAGTCCCCTTATTGCTGATAGAACACTCCTTCCTCAAGATATTTGCACCTACTTTCATCTGCCTAGATAGCTACAAGCTTCATGCTTACCTTACCTTAAGTTCTTTGCTCGGACATTATGTTTTTGGTGAAATAGTTTCTGCCAACCTATCTATAATCACACTTCTGTGATGTTCCCAGCCCCTTCCATGATCAGCTTCCTCCCTATGACATGTCATCATTTATCAATCTACATAGTCTACTCACCCATATCTTTATTGTCTGATCTCTCTTCCCATAAAAATATTAAATTCTACAAGGACAGGGATTTTTTCTTTCTTTCATGGCCATATTCCCAGCCCTTAGAACAGTACCTGGCACACAGTAAAATACTCAGTAAAGATGGAATGATTGAAGGTAAATGTTACCTCTTCCATGGAGTAAGATCATAGGGATTATTTTACCCCCAACAGCAAGGTTATTTTCCCCTTTGCATACTTAAGTTCAGAAAACTTAAAACAGAATATACGTATTGGTTTAGTTTCTTCCTAGACAGTAAATTTGAAGAGTAGGGAACACGGATCTTTTATAATGTAACTCTATACCCCAGATGTATCCTTGGCACACAGTAGGTGCTCAGAAAATATTTGTAGAGTAAATGAAGAAATCCATTGACACTTACAGGCACCATTTGTGAGATAATTTTAGGCAGGGAGGTTGGCAGGGATATGACTCAACCTCATCCTCAATGCACCATGTGGATTTGTGATTTCTTCCTCAGATTTTTACCTTTGCTGACCGCAGCTGGTAGGCATTGTTCTGATCGATGTCCCATTCATAGTTCAAGTCTCTCTTGGGGACACTGATCTGGACATGGAGATCCTGGGTGCCTTCGAAGGGTACAGCTTCGCTGAAGCGGGTGAGGGCTTCGATGGCAACCACCGTGGTCTGGTTGGGGATGAGGACTGTGGATCAGCACCACAGACAGCGCCCTCGGGACCCTCACGATATCACCTCAGCACCACGGACAGTTTCTTCAGGTAGACAGGCCCCCAACAACACCGTGGCTAATGCCCACCCCAACTCCCACCTATGAGGCCCCAGTCACCTGAGTGGAGTCAAACCCTCCGCCCAGCTTCCGCTTCTCCACCAGCCACTTGGCGATGGCGTGCGTCTCATTGTGCCGATGCAGCTTCAGTTTCTGCATCAGTGCGTAAGCTGTGGCCTCGATGGTATACAGGGAACTAAACCACCGTTTTTCCACTGGCCAGTGGGTTTTGTCTAAAAGATAGATTCCCACCTCATCACCAAGATCTGGACCCGCCTATCTAAATTTTCTCTCTTCTTGTGTCATCTGGGCTAATTTCTTCCTACTGCTATGTTGAGCACCTATCCTTTGCTAAGGAGACATGTGGACACTGCATTTTCCGAACCAGTCCAGGAAACAGGAACTATTTAGATATAGGTAAAGTGAAGTTAAAAGAAGCTTCTTCAGGTTCACCTCGTCAACCTACAATTAAATTTTCCATTTATAATGCTCTTGACTTGGGAAATGAAGAAGATGGAATTAGGACTCTTAAGGATGGAATAGGGCAGGGCATGGGAGTCAGACCTCTCAGTCACCCACATTTTATGATCTTCTTTCTATCTCTTACCATGCCAGGCACCTACTCACCTCAGGGTTTTTACATGTGCCATTCCCTTAATTTGGCATGTCCTTGACTTTCCATATTCCAGCTGAACAGTCTAATTTTCACAGAGGTCTTCTCACTCTCCTTCCCTTGCCATCTCTCCCATCCACTTTGTATTATTATCATCTCAGCACTATCTTAATTTGTGATTCTCTATTGACCTATTTATCTTCTGTCTGTCTTCTCCAGGGACGGTGGACCTCTGAGGGCAGGGATCACTTTCATCTCGCTCACCTTGGTTTCTTAGGGTCCTAATTCAGGATTGGCATACTTACCATAGGTGATGGGCTAAGGGGAAAAGGAAGGGCACCATATGTAGCATAGGGATCTGCATGCACACACATAGCACAGGCTACCTACAAACACAACTGTTAAGTATTTTTGGAACTAAAACCTGTGTTTTGAACTGAGAGCCCTGCCCCAGTGACACCTGAGGGAGTTTTAGACATTGACGCCATAAAGAAAACAGGATGCTTTTCTAGACTCAGGAAAACAGGATACACCTGAGAGGTGATGACAAACTCTGGTGGCTAAACATGATGAAGACCAGGAGACCAACTGTGGTAGACTGTCCTGAGGGGCTATTCACTTGTGATTAACTGTCTTTGTTTAACTCTGTAGAAAAAAGGCCTGCTTGAGGTGAAATGTCAGAATGGTTGTTTGGGGTAATGTACCTCCTTTTCTTTCAGATCACTGGCTTTCTGATAACAAGGCAGAGATTTAATTCCTGTCCCTGCTCATTTGGCTTCTGGCAGCAATAGGCATTCCAACCATAGCATGTTCCAGTTACACAGGTGCTCGCTCAATAAATTCTTAGTGATGAGTCACACATTGCTAGATTTGACAACACGCAATCCCCTCCCTCCCAATAAATGTAGGTAACACACAGATGGTTAAGAAGTGCCCCGCACCCACCATGACTGGCAAAACTGTCCAGGCGGTCATTGGCTCGGGGGCTGTTGGTAAGGGCCAGAGCATAGGAGACTATGGCAATAGCAAAGGTTGTTTGAATGTTGGGGAGGCGTCTCTCCAGGAAGCCACGGGCTCTCTCCATACTGGCAGTTAAATCCTAGGGAGTCAGAGAGAGGAGGCTAGAGGGAGACGACGAGAGGAAAGGGGTCTGAGAATTAGAAAAGAAGCATCCACTGAAAGTGACATGAAGCTGGGGAGCTCTCTGTATTCAGGGGGTATGGCACCCTCCAAATCCTGCCCTCCCCTTTTGAGTTCTTACCGGTATCTTCTGGATGCACAATTCTTTCCCCTCATCCAAGGCGATCAGGACATGAGCTGTGAGGGAGACGTCGGCCTCGGAGCCTGTGTAGCCACCCTGTGATACAGAACCATGCCCATGTTCCCTTCACCATCCTGGGCCACCTCCAGCCTGCCCTCCCTGTCCTTGGAAAGCTCTCAGGTGCTCCACTGTGGGCTGGGTGATGTTGCAAGTAGTATGGGAAGAGTGTAAAAGTGTGTGTGTGTGTGTGTGTGTGTGTGTGTGTGTGTGTGTGTGTGAGAGAGAGAGAGAGAGAGAGAGAGAGAGAGAGAGAAGGAGAAGCCATGAGATCTGCCTGTATGGGGTCTGCCTTATTCAGAAAAGCTAACAGCCATGGAAGGTGCTGCTACTGTCTCAGAGTGTTCGTTCAGCAATTTAATTTTCTTAGTGGGGAAATGGAGGGTCAGAGAGGTGAAGTCTCTCTATTACTAGCAAATAACTGACTTAGGGTTCAAACTCTTCATAATTTCCTGGCTTTCACCCTCAACCCTTGTAATGGGTTTAATAATATTCCCCTTCCAGCTGATGTCCACAAAGAACCTTAGGATATGATCTTATTTGGAAAGTCTTTGCATATGTAATTGAGTTAAAAGAGGCAATATTGTTTAAGATGGGCCTTATATCCAATGATTAGTGTCCTTACAAAAAAGTGACATGAAGATACACAGAAGAAGGGCATGTGAAGATGGAGACAACGATTGAAGAGATGCAATTACAACCAAGGAATGTGAGTGGTTGTCAGGAGTCACCAAGCTAGAAAAGTCAAGAAAGAATTAATTTCTAGAGCTTTCAGGAGCTTGCTTGGCCCTGCTGACTTCTAGATTTTGGACATTTAGCTTCCAGCACTTAGACAAAAATAGATTACTTCCTGTTGCTTTAAGCTGCCCTGTTGACACTCCTTATACAGTCTATATAATGCTTTTATAGAAGCCTGTAATACAAATATTGGTGGCATTTATTTTTGTGATGCAAGTACCTGACTGAAGACTTGATGCCCAGGCTTCAGCCTAATGAGGAGCAGCTCAAACAAACTTGGCACTGAGCAGATGTGGCCCAGCTGTCCCCCCTCCCACCTTTATTTTACAAATTCTGGTTAACTTAGATAACTAACCCCTTGGAACTGACTTGTGATTTGCCCTTTTTCCTTGTCTTTTGGTCTTTACCTTGCTTTAAATTTCTGTTCTTATGATTTAAATTACCTAGAAAAGAATGACCCCCCGAAGCCCTAAAATCCTCACCCTCTAGCCCAATTAAAGACCCCCGGCATCTCTCTCTTCCTAAATCCTCACTGTGGCCCAGGTATGCTGTGTAGTTTCCAAGTCTTCCAAGTAATAAACCTTTCTTTTCTTTTCTTTTCAGTTTCCTGGTGGTTGTTGTTGAAGAACATCTTACAATCATAATAACCCCAAAGACTGATCCAGTTGTAATATTGGCTAAAGGGGACCTGTCTATTGGACACTTATTGGGGCTGGGGTAGAGGTGAATTTATTGCCTGGGAGTGGGGGCACTCAGCCTCAGAAAGGAGGGCCAAGACTGGCAGCTGTCTGCTGTGGGGGCAAAGGAGAAATGGACAGCTGGTGTCTCCAGCCCCCCACATTGTAACAGAGTGACCACGGAATTGTGAGGCTGGGTCTTGAACCTTGGCTCCTCCCTCTTCTCATACTAGGAAAGGTCAGAGACCTGAAGTCCCCCTGTTCGTGTGCAGAGCCCTGGGTTTTGTTTGAATGTCCCAGACAGGGGGGCCGTGGGCACCTGCATGGATGACATGATCGGAAGGCCCACATCCAGAAAATGTCCGTTCCCCGCCTGTCTCTGGGTGATGATCCAGCTGGCCATGGCGCAGAGAGAATCCAGATTCACCGCAGTTACTGCGATGTTCTGGTAGGCCAGGAAGAAGATCCGGAGCACATAGCTTGTGAGCCTGGGGAAGGTGGGGAAGGGTTGGGTGATGACTGGGAACAGCAGCAAGGGAACCCTAGGACGTGGGCAGCTATACCATGGGGAAGCGTACACGGTGGGCCACACTGGTCCAGACTGCCCCTCTCCACATGCTCTGCCCGGGGCTGCTGGCCCACACACTGCCTGCCCAAGATCCCACCCAGGAGGCTCCAGGACGGGCGAGCCTCTCTTGGCGCCCAGGTTTCCAGGTGATGGTAGCAGGCCTGCCGCTGTCCATGTCTTTACCAGGTGTTTCCTGGGCTTCCCTTGATGGTGTTGTAGGTGCCGTCTTCATTCCGGTGGGTCAGCATCTGGGTGTAACCTGGAGAAAGATGGAGGAAGACTTGCATGGGAGTTGGTGTTTGGGTGTCTCTGTGCAGAGGGGGCACAACCTGAGTGGCCAAGGTATGGGTGTGACTTGAGGGCGTGTCCCATCTGGTGTATCCTGGAGGAGGATACATTAAGAAGGGGGCATTGGTTAAAAAGATGTGGTACATATATACAATGGAATATTACTCAGCAACCAAAAAAGAGAAACACATGTCTTTTGCAGCAACTTGGATGGAGCTGGAAAAGATCATGCTTAGTGAGATAAGCCAGAAAGAGAAGGAAAAACACCAGATGGTTTCACTCATAGCAGGAGTATAATGGACCAGGCAAGAAAATAACAAGAATAATGAACAACCATATACCAGAGACATTTTGCGGGGGTGGAGTGGGGAAGGGATGGGATCAAAAATGGGGGTGGGGGGAGGGAAATGCACGGGATTATGGTGATGGCACACGGGTGACTTGGTGATGGGAAACTCACGGGGATTACAATTGAGATGGAAAAAAAATGTACAAAAGGATGTAAAAATAAACTTTTGTTAAAAAAAAAAAGAAGGGGGCATTGGGGCCTAGGTGTAACTGTGGAAGCCAGCATATAGTATCAAAGGGGAATTGTCACTCAAAAGGATTGTGGAAAGCAAATCCCAGGAAAGTGGATAACCTGAGAGTTTCCTGGGTGTTGTTTCCTGGCTATAATCTAGGGGTGTCTATGTAAAGTAGCTTGTCTGTGTAACCTAGAGTAGGCTATTTTTGAACATATTTGGAGGGGCATCTGTCAGGTGTATTCTGAGCATTGCTACTTGGGTATTAAGTGAAGGTTACCCGGGGATTTACTGCTTGGGTGTAGGTTGGGTGTAGCATCCGAATGCTCTTGGGATTACCATAGAGAACACAGGGATGAAGAGTTGGTGTCTGAGTGTAGCTGTGGAGAAGGGTCAATGTTCAAATTAATTTGAGGGTTTCTTGGTATAACTAGGTGCTTACATTTCTGTTTGTAACCTGTGGAAGTGTCAGCACTCAGACATAACTGGAAAGCCATCATCACCTGGGGTAAATCTGGAGTTTTCTGCCTGGGAGCCCAGGGGTGAGAACCAGTGCGTGGCACTGACTGTGTCATACGGAATAGCGTCTCAGTTCAGCAGCTGTCTTGGGGACTGCTGCTTGGGGGTCTGCAGCCTGGGAGAAAGGGATGAACAACCTGGTGGTCACTGATGGAGGTCATATGGGAGACTTGGTATCAGCTTGTCCTTTGGGAGAGCTTAGGGGTCACCTTGAGCTAGCTATTTGAGGGTCATTTTTTGGGATTATCTGGGGGTTAGTATCAGGTTGTAATCTGATGGATGAGTCAGAGTTTGGTGTTATTATCTGAGTGTGGCCCATGGGGGTTCCTCCAATCCTAGGGGTACCCATCACCCTCATTGAGGTCCCAGAAGGAGAGTTCATACCACTGACAATGTTCTTCATCACCTGGTCCCTGAGCTCCACACCAACCTTGCCCCACTGGTTTGTGGCATCTAAATATTGGGTCAGGATGATCACTGGGGCAAGGGAGCTCAGGGTCTGCTCGGGGCAGCCCGTCGGGATCGTCAGTAGCTTTTCCGTTTCTCCAGGCATCAGGCTGCCTAAAATCGTCTCGCCTAGGATGTCACCTGTCATCAGGTGGGTAGGGTTACTTTGGGAATGGCCGAGGTCACTCATGGATTTCCCCCAACCCCGCCTGCCCCTGGGCCAGGAGGCCCTCCAGCACCACCCAACCATCCTCCCAGGAGTCAGTTCTGTCCCCGGGTACCTTGGATGCTGACAAACACTTCTGCCTCTGTGTCAGGGACCTTGTTAAAAAAGTCCTGTCTTCGCACCAGCAATGTCTGGGTATTACCTGGACAGACACAGCCTACTGTGACAAGCAGTTTCTGGGGCTAGGCAGGTCAACTGGGACCACGCTCCTGGCTGGATCCCCTTGTTTCAGCCCTTCCCTCCAGCCTGGGATGGCCCCAGGATCCCACATGGGCCCCTTCAGATTCCACAAACCTTGGGGGTTCAGGAGGGTACTATCCGATATTTTCAGTATCTCCCCCCCTGCCTGTGGGATGCAATGAGGAAGCAAGTTAAAAACAACTCTAGTTGTCATTACAATCCCAGTGACAGTAAAGAAGCCTTGCTTAGCTATTAAGACCACAGACCCTGGAGCCCAAATATCTGCGTTCAAATCCCAGCCCTGCTGCTTCCTTGCTATGTGACCTTGGGTAAAATATTTAATTTCTCTGTTCCTTGTTTTTTTTTTTTGTTTTTTTTTTCACCTGTAAAATGAGAGAATGGTTTCCACTTCCAAGAGCTATTTTCTCTCCTTGGTGTTAAACTTTTTTTCTTTTAAGAGAGTAACATATGGGTCACACACTGGTTGGTTGTCATTTTCACAGCTCTTTTATTATTCATGGCTGTGATGAATGTCCTCACCTTGCAAATGAGGATGTGGAGATTCAGAGAAGTTCAGTAAACTGCCCAAGGTCACACAGCAAAGAAAAAAAATTGAACTCAGACTTGATTCCAAAGTCTCGAATTGAGGGCTTTGTGGTTAAAGTTTCAAATCCATTCCCTTGTACTGCTCCCATCTGGAAGGATTACTTGTTGATCCTAAGCCCCACCGCCTTCCTTTTTTTTTTTTTTTTAAGTTTTATTTATTTATATATACAAGCAAGAACTGAGGTACAGGTGGTGAGAGGATTCACCAGAGATAGAGTGGGGAGCAGAACAGGTGGATTTACTGAAATACACTGCTGAGGGGAAGAACAGTGGGCAAGACAGGAGAGGCCTGCTGTGCCAGGGAGGTCACCCATGCTTTAACCCCTTGCACTATCAGGGAGGCCCATCACCTGCCCCTTTTGTGACCATACAGCCTGGCACCCAGGGTAAGTCCTACTGTCTGCATTGGCAGCAAAGGGTAGGTGGCACCCATTACCTTGACCAGAAGTGTCTTCTTCACATGGTCCTGGATTCCAAAGCCCACGGCCTTGACTTCCACATCCACTTTGCCTATCTCAAGTGGGAGAAACACGAAGGGCACCATCTTGGAGGAGGTGGGGGGTACAACTACCACCTGGCGCCATGGGACTTCAGACTTTGATGCGCTACACAGCGACTCCTTGTGGGGGAACTCCACGCGGACCTGGGGTGGGGGGCAGTTAGGGGGCTCTGAAGCACAGGGTGACCTTAGAGTCAAAGTCTCCTCCCCATTCCTGCCTTTTGAATCCTGAGTAGCTAACAGCATAGAGCAATGGTTGAGAAAAAAGAACCTGCCCCTCAAGGCCCCTCTGCTACGTATGTGCTGTGTGATCTCAGAGAAACTGCCAGCCCTCTCTGTGCCTCACTTTCATCATCTCCAAACCAAAGACAATAACCACATGCATTTGCTGGGATTATTGTGAAGCTTAAATAAGGAAATACCTTAGTCATTTTTCAAACAACGCCACCACCTTAACGGCCCATTTGAATAATGGAATCATTCCATCACCTTTATAAAATACTGAGAGGTGTTTTGGCATGGAGAGGAGGGTTGGGAACATCACCTTGGCCTTCTGGTTCCTGAAATTGTACAGCACGGCCTGGATCTGGATCTGCTCATTCCTGATCACGGAGGAGGGTAACTTAAGATCCATAAAGAACGTTTTCATGACTGTCAGCTCAAAGGGTTCTGAGACACAGAGACCTACAGCCAGGAGAGCACATTGGCCACTGTGATGGGCTGGGAAGGGCCACCATTCTCCTGACCCCTCAGCACAGGACTTGTGGTGTTCACCTTGTCCAGCCTTGAGGCTGACAGCCACGATCTGCCACGTGGTGATGGAATCTGGCAAGTTCATTTGGGTGTAGTAGTGGGAGATGTCGGAAGTGGCAGACCTGTGGTGATGGGGACATTACAGAGTTTGTGCTGCCCGGACAGATCCTATGGATTGGGGATCACTGCCCAGGGGTTATGGCCACTCTGGAGGGGTCATCGGGTCACCTCAGTAAAGACATCGTCATTGGAGGGTCATCATTTGGGGGACCCCTTAGGAGTGTTTTCAAACACAGGACTGTCTTAAGAACTCAGTGTCATCACTAGGGGACACTGGCTGTAATCAGTGTCCAGTGATGAGCCAAGGGGCCAGGAGCCAGATGCTGGCATGGGGACTGTGGTCCTACCCTGGGTTGCTTTTTGGCAGAGTAAATTGCCTCCAGAGCCAGCTCTCAGGGAATAAAGTTCGCATAGGCATGTCTTCCTGGAAGATGTCATCGAAGTCGTCGTCTTGATCGGCTGCAGGAAGCCCATGTGGATGGGGTCTCCATTGAGTGTCTTCTGAGGCCCACCTGCCCCTTGGTAGGGTCTCTCACCCCATCTACCAGCGGCCCCCCTTGCTGTTCCACGGCCTCCATGGCCCCCACTGGAGCCCTCCAACCCCGTGCTCCCTGCTGGGCCCCCTCACTTGTGCCCAAAAGCAGCTGCTCCTCGCGGGCCTCCTGAGTCAGGGCTGCAGACAGATGACAGCAGCTCAGGAAGGCGGTGATGCAGTCTGGACCGTGGCGGACATGCCGGGTCCTCTCTTCACACGAAAGCCCCATGGGGTTCTCCCGGAGACCAGTCTCACAGCACTTTCGCTCCAGTTGTGTCTTGAACTTGTTGACTGAGGGTCAGAGTTAGAGGGAGAAAGGAGGGGCTAGGTGGGACCCAAGGAAGCTACGACCCCCCCACCTCATGTCATGGACACCTGGCCCCTGACGAGGCACTGCGGCAGACGCTGTCCCTAGAACCTTGTCTGTGTCTTCTCCTGGGAGACACACAGTGAACCCACAGGTGAGTTCTGAAGAGGAAGCTGAGTCCCAGAGGTCAGGCGCCTGGCCCTGAGCCATGCAGCTCACAAGTTGCAGAGTGGTGCTGTACTCTGTGCTGCGGTCTCTTCCCCCTTCCTCTGATGGGACTGGCAAGGACAGCTCTCTGACTACATTGTGATTTTGATTCTTGAGCCTCATTATGTATTTTCAAAAAAATGAAAGCATAAAATGCTATAAGTAGTAAGCAGAATGCTTCCAAATTAGCAAACTGAAGAGAGGCATTTAAAGATAAAAAAATGTAGTGATTAAAAAAGTTCTACCACATCGGATAGATTAAGATATTGGGAGCTAAATAATATAGTTGATCATAACCACAAACAAATAAAACAACCATCTATATTATAAAGTTTTTGTCAGAGGTTAGTTAACATGAATTTTGGTGTCAGAGTTAAGGTTTTACCTCAAATTTTTATTAGATTTCATTTATTTCCCCTTATTTAGACCTGTCAGATCATCAGCATTGCTCAAGGAAGCAAAAAAAAACAAAAAACAAAAAACAAAAAATGTAATAGTCATGATCTGTGCTTGGAACACCAGCCAGCTCTGCCAACTCTCCCTTCGTCTCCATGCTCAGAGCTTCCTGTGGGACCCACAGCCTGGGATTGAGGATGGCAGGTCCCGTCGATGATCCCCAGCACTCAGTTGCCCTTTCTCCTTTCGTGGACACCCCTTGATGTCACAGAGGCTACACATCTGAAAGTATCTCCTAGATCCCCTTGCTGCTAGGATCCTGCCACTAACATGCTCTTATGTCAGATTGGCAAGGTGGGCAGAAGAGACCTGTGCAGTAGTAGCAGGGTGGGCTCCAATCTATGTTTGCTTTTGTAATGGGTCCTAGAGAGACCCATGGCCTGTGAATGAGAAGACGTAAACATCTACCTTGTTTAAGCTACTGCCACACCTGGCCGACCGTCATCAAATCCCTCCCTCCCTTTGAAGTATTTGAAGTGGTTTCAGTTTTCTGCAAACTGAAGCTCTGATGAGTGAGTAGGTCAGAGTCAAGAGTGAGCACCCGTCTGACCTGCATTCCTCTTGGTCTCCATCCTCTTCAGGGAGCTGCGGCGGCTGCGAGTGGGAGGGGTGCTCTGGGGGCATTGCCAGTCTGGGGTGGAGAGGAAGAACCAGAGGACAATTGTCAAGGTCATTACCAACATTCTTGCTGTTGATTGGATGTTTGCTGGCTGCCCAGTGCTTTACGTGGGTCACCTCATTTCTATCCCGTGACACATGCACATGTTCAAGACTTGGTCCTTAAAAGTTGTGCATTTTCAGCAAGTCATTTAACTTTCCTCACCGTTAATTACCCCTCCGAAGTAAATTGATCTTTTCATAGTTTTATCAATAGAATCATGTATATAAAGATACTTAGCATGGGATCCAGCTTGTAAATTGAAACTGTTGTAAAGATCATGATTTACAACAGAAAGATGACAGTCTTAGCTGTCCCCATTATCACTTTTCCCTCCCCTCATCTGTGGCAAATGCCATCTTTTATATGTAATTCAGGATGAGGACTAGAGTTCCCAGGCTCTCTTTCATCTAGAGGGGGCATGGGGCTGCTTTCTGGTTAATGAGCTGTGAGCTACATGTCCTCTCGTCCCTTCATTGTGGGGCCTGGGATGAGATTCTGATGGTTTCATCTTGGGATTTGACGGAGCAACAAGCTTTAAGAAGCATGAGTACCGGAAAGACCTCTGAACTTGAGTGAGGAAGAACCACAATACATCATTTAAGCTACTGACACACATGACCAAATGGATACCTTAATTAGCATATAGTGAATTACTTCTATAATTATCTCTATTTTATGAATAGAGAAATTGAGACTGAGAGAGGCAATGTGACCAGCCCCTGGTAAGTGGTAAGGTCCTGGATTTTCACCCCAAACCCAAGTTCCTCACCACTAGGTATCTGTCCCCCAACTCCTTCCCTCCCTCCACCTGTACCTGAACTTGCCAGGGTGCCCATCCCTGTGCTCAACTTGAGATCCAAGCCAGCATCCTTGAACACAGCAAGCCTGTCTTTCCCACTGCCTGCTGTGCAGCCAATGTCGTGTTCTTCCACCACATCCCAGACCTGGGGGTCAAGAGAGGAAGCTGGATTTGGAGCCGCAGCAACCATCTAGGAGGGTAAAATGATGTGCTGACTTGCTGGCTCAGATGTTAACTCTCACATCCTCTCCCACTAACTGTGCCTTTTCTACCTGCCAAAATCAGCCATGCTCTGGCTCAATCACTGATCTTTTTTTTTTTTTTTTAAAGATTTATTTTATTTATTCATTCAGACCTGGGGTACAAGCTAGGGGTGCAGGGGCAGTGAGAGGCTTCACCAGAGACAGTGGGGAGCAGAACAGGCAGATCCACAAAGTACACTGCTGAGGGGAGCAGTGGGCAGGTTAGGGTTAGAGGTCTGCTGCAGATCACCTCCGGGGCTGGGGATCGAACTCTCACTGAAGTGGCTGCTGCCAGCTTGCAGTGCTGTGTTCTAACCCATTACTTCACCAAGGAGGGCCTCAAACACTGATCTTACCCATTTTATGGCTGAAAAAACTGAAGCTCCAGCTAGAATTTCCGGGCAACCAAAGCCCACCTGCTCTTACCTTCTTCTGTGTGAGCTTGTGTTTGCTGTTTAAGATGTAGACAGCCTTGTCCACAGCCAGCAGCCCCACTGTGGCCTCAGCGTCACCTGTCACCTTCAGTTCCACCACGCTGTTGGGATCATAAGTCTGGGAAAATTCTTCATTTTTCAGACCAACTTTCAGCTGAACAGAAAAACGAGCTGTCAGGAAACAGTGTTCATAGATTCCCCAATACACCTACTGCTTTGGTGGGGCATCAAGGAACCCCACCAGAACCAGGTCCCATTCCACACACTTAACACATCTTCTCCAATCCTAGATGGAGCTTTGAAAGCTTCCTCTTTTTCCTCTCCCCTGCCCCCAGGCTGGGAACCCTTGAACTTTATAGATTCTCTCCTGAGCTTTATGTGGCTGTAGAATGTCCAAGAGTTTGACTCACCGTTCCCATGCATCTGTCATTCACATCAATCCATAACGAGTCAGCCACCAGCTCAGGGTCCTGACCCAGCCCCCGGGGTAGTAAATAAAAGGCCAGGATGCGGAAGGAGGGCAACATCTCTGAAGTCACATCGATAATGGCGGATGTGTAGATACTTCCTTGGCTTTTTGCCTGATGTTTGGCATACACAATCTGACCCTTACTTAAGACCTTGGATACAAAAGAGGCCAGGGATGAGAAGGGTCAGGCAATTCTGTCCCCGAGGCTGTCCCACCCCCTAAGGGAGGCCTCTAGTCCATTTTCTTCAGCCCCCCACCACCTTGGTCTGAATCTCTCCCACCTGGTTCCTACCAAGCCAGCTACCCAGGGGTGCCCAGGAAAGTACTCTTTACCAGGATGGTGAAGTGAGATATCTGACTCTTGGCTTCAGGATTCTTATGCCTTGTATTAAGGCTCAGGTAGATGTTGCTGCCAACTTCTGTGCCCAATGTCTTCACCTCGATGTGCAGGAAGTTCCCTGACCCATCCTGAGTTGAATAAGGCAAAGCTGTCATGCTGGTTGACGCCTGTTCCTCTGGCTGGAGAGGCTCGTCAGTTTCCACCTGGGGAGAGACACAGGCAGTGAACCCCTGATACTTCTTCTGGCTCACCCAGCCCAGCCCCTCCCCCCATGCCCATCAGGTTGGTACCAGGAGAGGGAGCTGCTTCATATTAGCATCTGTGTTGATGGTCAGTGTGGCCACCCCGCTGGGTGAAGTGCGTACTCTGTGGTTTTGGCAGCGGACAAAGACACCGGAGGCTGGGGACCCGTCAGGATTTGAGACGAAGACCTGGGGAATAATCTGGGGTCAAATAAGGGCAGGCCCGAGGGTGGCCTGGCATGAGAGGTAGGAACTGGGAATGCAATCTGGGTGGGGACACCTTTGTGCAACGGGGCAAATTGTTCACAGAATAACAGCAGAGGCACCGTTCTTACTGGCCTTTAGGAATGGCGGCCCCTGGAGCTCTGCAGTGTCCACCAGATGTAGTGCCTGGCACTATGGGTGGGGGTTGGGGAGTTGGATAGGGTAGGAAGAGGTATGAGAGGTTGGAGAAAACTTGGAGTTGGACTGGCACCAAAGGGTGTGTCCAGCTTTCCTAGTGCCCATCAGACATCCCAAAGTCACCCTAAATAAAGGTCTGTAGAAACACCAAGCTCACTGCAAATGCAGCCTCCAGATGCACGCCTAAGCACCACCTTCCAGCTGACTGTGGGCTCTCAGGCCCCTCAGACATTCCAGAGCCATCACCACACTTTGAAGGGACCTGGGTGAAGACTTGGGCAAATCTTGGGATTGGTCTAGGGTACAGGCTGGGCTCAACTCTCAAACAGGTAAGCTGTGGTGGACTGGAGAGCTCAGAGCAGGTTTTTATCTCCTGGAGGAAGGGTCTGTTTGGGAGACATGGTTCTGAGTCCCTGGGTGGTGTGAACCCAGACTCTGACCCTAAAGTGGAAGGGCATCCCCGGCTTGAAGTATTGCGGTGTCCTGGTGAACTTGATGCTGTATGGGCTCCGAACAATCTTCACTCCTGAGATCTCTGCCTGGACCATTTCACCACCTGGAGACACAGTGAGGCCATAAGGTCTATAAATAAAAACATTTTTCTGTAGGTGATGGGGCCTGTCTTAACGAGGACACGGAAAGACAGTAACACAATTTCAGTTCCTTCCAGTCCTGCTGATGTTTTCTCATTTCTCTAATGAGGAAACTGAAGGTGGGGAGAAGCTGAGTGTAGTCATTAGGATCGTGGGAAGTAGGGGGACCCTGGGAGGTCATGTGCCTGAGGCCACGAGGGTGGTGGTCTGGGGGTGGAAAAGAACACAGTCTCCTGACCTCGCCAGGGGCCTGGGTGAGGGTGGCACCTGAGAACACAGTGACGTTGACAAAGATGGAGGCCCCGATGAACTCCTCTTCTGGGCCTTCAAATGCGGTCATCAGCATGTCCTTGCGGAGTGAGATGTGACCTAGGCCTTCAGAAATCTGTTCTCAGAGCAGGAGAGAGGAGAGGAGATGGGGATAGTTTCTTGGGGAGTGGAGCACGGCCTAGGCAGGGGGGCAGCAAGGGGTCAGGACTCAGTCACCTCCACACGCTGCAGGGAACTTTGGATGGGCATCCGGTGGGAGCCCTGCTGGATCCCGAAGATGGCCAGAGCGTTTCCATCGACCGGCTTGTTGAATATGTACCTGAGAGGTGAGAATGGCACATCTTCAAACAACTAGCAACAACAAATGTTGGCGAGGATGTGGAGAAAAAGGAACTCTCCTGCATTGCTGGTGGGAATGCAAACTAGTACAACCACTATGGAAAACTGTTTGGAGGTTCCTCAAACTGCTAAACATGGAGCTTCCCTATGACCCAGCAATCCCACTCCTAGGTATCTACCCAAAAGACACAAAAACACTGATTGAAAAAGATACTTGTACCCCCATGTTTATTGCTGCTTTATTTACAATTGGAAAAACATGGAAGCAGCCCAAATGCCCAAAAGTAGATGACTGGATTAGAAAGATGTGGTACATATATACAATGGAATATTACTCAGCAACCAAAAAAGAGAATCATGTCTTTTGCAGCAACCTGGATGGAGCTGGAAAAGATCATGCTTAGTGAGATAAGCCAGAAAGAGAGAAAAATACCGGATGGTTTCACTCATAGCAGGAGTATAATGGACCAGGCGAGAAAATAACAAAAATAATGAACAACCATATACCAGAGACATGTTGTGGGGGTGGAGTGGGGAACAGGATCAAAAACGGGGTGGGGGAAGGGAGGGAAATGCACGGGACTATGGTGGTGGCACAGGGGTGATTTGGTGATGGGAAACCCGTGGGGATTACAATCGAGATGGAAAAAAAAATGTGCAAAATGATGTAAAAGTAAACTTTGTAATAAATAAAATAAAAAAATACTAAAAATAAAATAAAATAAAATAAATTGGACTTATAAAAAAAAAAGAATATGTACCTGGGGGAGAGAGGGCCATGCCCTGGCTCTGAAGCACACACAACCACACTATAGGGATGGGCTGTGCGATCTCAGGGGGGGCTATGGTGCTAAATATACAACTTTAGGAGGGGCAAAGATGGCCCCTGGAAGCTCAGATGGTTTGGTTGCTGACCCACACAATGCTGGGAAGTAACAACCATGTTTCATAAAGCCTTTTTGGGCTGCAGGTGTGGCCTGTACAATCTCATGGGCAGTGTAGGTGACTAAGAAGATCTCATGGGTGGCTGAGTGTCCCTACCACTTCTCTTTCTCTCTCTCTTTCCCTTTTAGCACCCTTGGGCTTCTGGACAGGCTAAGGGGACGGGGACTCACCAGGCCTGGATGTCCACACCTAGAACCTCACTGTTGAGGTGGAAGAAGGTCTTGTTTGGCTTCAGCTGGACATCGAAAGATGGGAGCACTAGATGCAGCGAAGGCAGAGGGCACCATCAGTATTTCACCGTTTCCTTTCCCTCCTGGGCCCTCCCTCCTCCTCCTTATCCTGTTTCTTCTTCCTGATTCTGAAAACGACAAGGGCTGGGACACACAACCCTGCTCACCATCACCAGCCCAGGGCCCAGAACACAGGAGGTGCAGGGTGCCACCTCCTTCTGTTGCCAGCCCCATGCCTTGTGTGTACCCGCCTTGCCCCTCGCCCCCCCCCCAACATTTCTTCTCACCATACTCTTTCACTTCAAAGGCTGTCTTGAACTTCTGCTCTGCTGCACTTTGGTACCTGGCTTCGATGCTCCAGGTCCCAAGACTGAGGCACAGAAAGTTAGGAGAGATGGGGAAGGTAAAGAAGAATTTCCAGCCCTCACCCTTGGGGCTTCCGCGGGCACCTGATGAGCTCAGGGAGATGGAAGGAGCTTGCAAAGAAGCCGTTTTGCACCAGCAGGTCCTGGCTCTGCACAGTGATCCCCTCTGGGTTCTGTGGATTTGGAGATGGGGAGTTTATGCCCAGGACTTCAATGTGTCATTACTCCCCACGTCTGGGATTCACCGTCTCAACAGGAAAGGCCACCTTGATATCCAGGGTGAATGTCTGGCTCACAGGATCCAGCTTGTGGTTCACAGTGAACACTCGGTATTGAACTGGAGGAGGGGAGATTCAGTGTTGGGTAGGCTTTGGAGGAGAGTGTAAATGTTAGGGTCCTGGGAAATGGGGTGACCCCGGGAAGGTGGAACATGCTGGGCATTGGGGTGCCCGGGGCTGAGACAGAGCATGGCCCAGGTCAAGCGCCGGGGCACAGTACCCAGGTGCTCAGGGTTGTAGATGGTCTTGTCTGTCTGGATGAAGATGTAGCCAGTGTGCGGAGCCACCAGCACCGGCTTCTCCATGAAAGATGAGGCCGAAGTGGGCGCCCATTCTACACGGATGATGACATACTGCTGGCCTGGTTTCGGGGGATATACCAGGTTCTCAGGAATCTGGGGAGAGATGTTCAGACCTGTTAGGCATCTTCAACCCTGAGGGCAAAGCCCTGTGCCAGATCACGGAGAAACATCAAACGGGTGCCCTTGGGCTCTGCTTTTGGAGCAAGGTCACCATACGTGATTATGCAGGTTGGATAAGGACATTCGGCCAAGGTGGGTGGGAAGTGGGACTGGGGGGACGCAATCCAGCCCAGGTCAGCTTCCCGAGCCACCAGCAGAGGGCGCCTTTAATAACGGCCCCACTCTTCCGGAGCCAGACTTAAAGGACTTTAGGTCTCTAACTGCAAAGGACATAAAAGGAACGGCAAATCCCTCCAGGCCTTGCCGCTATTCTCCAGTATCCTTTCTGGGTCGTTCCTCTGGAGTCTGTCCCTCGTCCCTTGCTGCTCACCCTCCCTTCGTGGCTCTTTCCTGCCTGCCACTCACCGTCACTGGCGCCTGGCTCATAAAGTGGTTTTCTGGTGAGAGAAGGAGTTGGTGTTCAGCCACCACTGTCTTCTTCACAGGGAAGTCCCACACGATGATTTTCACCTCCAGGGGCCTAACTAGAGGCTCCCCGGAGTCTGAGTGAGCCTGCACATGGATGATGTCAGGGCTACCAACCCGCAGGACCCGGGGGGTCACCAGGATGTACCTGCCAGCAGGAAAACACAAGGGCATGGAGCAGGGGAGGCTCTCCTGGGAGAGACAGGCAGGGCTGCGTGCAGGGAATCACGAAAATGGTAGTTGTGCAAGCAGCTGGCTGTGTTCCCCCCAGTTCTCCAGACTCACAGTGGCTCAGCATGGATGAGGGGTGTCCCCAGGAAGAGTAGAATCAGCCCCAGTGACCAGGGCATGTCCGTGGTGGTGGTGGGACAGTGAAGTGAGAACCCAGATGTCAGTTGTCTGTCCTCTTGTTTGCCCTGACCTGTTTGCCTTGGCTTTTCCTGCTGAGTTAATATCTAAATGAATGCGGGGGTTGGGGGGGGAGGGGGGAGGGAATCCCACAAAGTCAACTGGAGGAGAGATGCCACTCAGCCAGGCCTCCAGAGGGACAGGATGGTTGTGTTGGGAAGCGTTCCATCTCCCCTCTTGGGGCCAGAGCGGTGGGTGGGGGGGTGTCTTTTCCATGACTCATGGGATCTTCTTTTGAATCCTTTCCTCCCCCAGCAAGCATGGGAGGTATGGGGGTGGGGCTGTGGACTCAGGACTTGGCTGGCTTTGGCTGGAAAGAGCCTTGCCTCCACTTCTGGCCTTGGGGAGCTGGTGAGTGTGTCTGGGCGTAGCTGCTCACACAGGAGCAGTGCAGGCTCTGCTGATTTCATTGCCCAATCACAGGCTTGAGCAGCCAGATGGCATTTAGCTGCCTGGTTTGGGACCCTCCATAATGGAAGCTTCTGAGAAATCCACAGGTCCATCCTTGCTACTTCCCATCTCTCTGCACCCAGCATTGCCTGCTTTTCTCCTTCCTTGGAAGAAAACAATATTCGATAACTTGCGGCCACTGTCCATTGTTCCTAAATCAGCCTGGGTTCTCTGGGTATCCTTTCCAGAAGGCAAATGATACATATTAAGTCAGGGAAGAAGAAAACACATCATGCCTGAAGCATTCCTGGAAGAAGGCTTTCTCTGTCCTGAAATAATTCTTACTGGCAGTTTAATGTGCTCATTAAGCATGTGGAACCAACTCGTGGTGTCTGCCTTTTAGAAGCAGGAGGGGTCCAGACAGGTTTGTCTGTCTCTTCCTCCTTCAGGATCATCAACATCGCCAGCTTGGGGAGTCTTGCCTTCTTAGGAGGCTCTTGGCCCCCCTTCAAGCAGTTATAATTTATAGTGATCTAAAGAACATCCAGTATTTACTATGAGCCTGGCCCCTTAGCAAAATAGGGACACTCAAAATCCCTGGCCTCGCCAAGTGGTCACTTACTGAGAAGTGACTACTTAGAGCCTACAGTGAACTTTCTCTTCAAACCTCGGAGCCGCCTATGAATTGGATTGCCCATGCCCTCACCCTTTAGACTCTTTCATGCTAAAACTGGAAAACCAAGTGTGTGAGAAACAAGGAGAGCAGGGTAGTCATGTCTTCCTCAGCATTTGTCAGTACCTATGAGGTTCCAGCCACTGCTCTCCATGTGGCATGTGCACCCACAGAATCCTCACAAGAATTGCCACCCATGTACAGATGGCCTGGGGAGGGCTAGGAGGGTGAGCTCCTGGTCCTGGGTCAGGCGTGTGGGCTACGAGGGTGGTTAACGAATGCTCTTAAGTCTTATCAGAATCCCATTAAGGCATGGATCAGGAAGGACCCAATTTGGGAGGTTCTAGAACACTGGGGTCCGTTTGGGGTGGCATGTTCTGGTCTCCCAGGGCAATCATAGGGCTCTGTTCTGTTCTCCCGCAGCTGGGGGCTGATGTTACTTCATCTCCAAGGGGTCCGCATCTGAGCCTGGAAACAGGCATTCAGTCCCCTCACGTCTCTGTTTTGACTTTGGAATGGGTCCAGGAAGAGAGAAATTGTCTTCAGGTATTAATGAGTTGCAAAAGAAGTGGGAAACACTTGGAAAACAAATAGGGGTAGCCTTAGGAATATATCCTTGCTAGCCAATGAACAAAAGGATGGGAGTGGAAGTGACTGCAATGAACAAAAGGATGGGAGTGGAAGTGACTGCTACGGGAATGGGTGACAGCAGGAACTCACACCTCATACAGTGGTCTCCAGCCCCAGGCTTCCCCAAAGAAGAATGCTAAGCACTTGTCCAATAACTGCACTGGGCACATGTTACATGCCTGGCCTTGTAGGCGCTGGGGACACATCACTGAGCAAGATGGAGAGTCTGACTGTGTGGAGAGGATATCTGCTGAGTTCTTGCTGTAGCCACGGTTCGCCTCTTTTACTCCTCTCAGCAATCCCATCACCCATTGACCATTTTACAGGGTGAAGAACTGAGACACTAGATAGAAGATGAGATCTTCTGCCCCAGACTGTGCAGCTAGGAAACTAAGGCACAGGGGGGTTAAATGCCATGCCCAGGGTTACACTGCAGGTTCCGTAATGCAGCTGAGCTTCCAACACGGATTTCAAAGGGAATTCAAGGAAGTCAGCAGTTGGGAGAGTGGCTCATGGGCTCCAAGTCCGACAGTAAGGGGAGGAGTTCGACTTCTCCCCTTGGCCAGGAGAGGGCGCCCGCGAGCCTCCTAGCAGGCCGGGTAGCAGCACTCTGCCCCCTCCCGAAGGAATGCCGGTGGTGGAGGGCGGGGTTGTTGACCCCAAGCCCAGAACAGCTGCTGCAACCCCGGCGGCTCAGATTCCTCTCCCTTCCCCTCCCCGGAACCCCGGGGGGCCTTGCGAAAGGGGAGGGTGTGAAGGGAATATGTGTGTCCTGTATTTTGGCTCCCTTGCCCAGGCCTTCCAGCCCAGGGCTTCCAGGGAAATGTTGGCAGGGCCTGGGAGGAAAAGAATCATACAAATATCATTGCCATTAATATCTGTCATCTATGAAACACCTACTTTCTGGCATTCTGGGATTTTCTTGCCCAGAATGTCTCCATTTTACAGAAGAGGAAACTGAGCCTCTGCAAAGTGCCATTTCTTTCTCAGTTAGGAGTGTCAGGAGTTTCTTAGTGGACAGAGCTCCAGGACGTGCCCAGTCGTTCCCTTACAGGCCCAGCCAAATCTCCTCAGGTCAGTTCTTGGCTCCCTGAAAGCTTCTGATCTCCCACTTGTACTCCCCAAGGCTTCTGGAACTAGCCTGGCTCCCTGATCCCAAAGGGCATCACATGCCTCCCTTCTGGATCCAGGGAGTTCTGCTCTGGTAATGAGAAGCTTGCTGCTGAAGGGAGAGAAAGAATAATTCAGCAGTCACATTTGGGGTTGATTAGTATTAATGCTCTTTGGGTTTGAAAGTGCCATGGATTACAATAATAGACACTCTCACAGAACCCACAACTTGGTCAGGGACAATTACTCATAAATAAGCAGTTATGTGGACCCATAGGAACCTCTTAATTAATTCAGCCTGGTGAGTCAAGGAAGGCTTCCTGGAGGAAGCAGTATTTAGACTGAGATCTGAAAGTCTCAGTCAAGTAAGAGCAACCAGGTGAAGAGATTTCGGTATGGAAGAGAGAAGAATGTTTTGTTTCAGGAGAATGAAACATATTTTTGTGTGAAGACCTGGAAGTAAGATGGGGCATGATGATTTAGGGAGCATGAAAAGGTCTTTAAGTCCTTCTTGTTAGATCAAGGAGAGTCTCATTGTGGTACACTAATTTCCCCACACATTCATTCATTAGACATTTACTTAGAGTGTCTCCCACTTGCCATTTACTGTTGTTGATTGTTAGCAAATAGACATTTGGAGTCTTAGTTCCTTGAGTGGAGACAGGAACTAAGAATCACTTAACTGTGGTATTTAACAGATGATGAGAAATAAAGCAAGTTCAGGGAATAGAGTGACCAGGTGCTGTCTTATGATTAGGGAGGGCCTCTCTGAGAAGGTGATTGAGCATTCAAAGGAGAGAAGGAGGAAGGAGAGAGCCACGTGGCTATCTGGGAAGTGTTCTACACAGAAGGAATAGTAAGTGCAAAGGCCCTGACATGGGAAAGTGTGTAAAGTGTTTAAAGAACAGCAAAGAGGTCAGTGTTTTGGAATGAAGTAGGAGAGAGAGTGGAGATAATGGAGATGGATAGTCAAGGGTTAGATCATGTAGGAGGCCTCACAGCTATAGATTTGAATCCAAGTAGGAGGGCAACACGTGGAGAGTTTGAAAAGAGTGGTGACATTATTTTTCTGTTTTAACAGAATCAGTCCGGATATGTTATTTCTTACCATGATGTGAAATTCACCAGTAACCAAAGCAATGAAATGAATAATTCCACAGCATAAAAATAAGGCCAAATACCAACTACAGAACCTCAAAAAAAAACCAAATCCAAAAACTAGGATGTTCCTAATGTACATCATATGTAAAAAGTTTCTAGGAGTTAAAAACAATTCAGTGGAAAAATTGAGGCTAAGGTGTGGTCAGAGTGTCCATGAAAAATGAAACACTACAAGCTCTGTAACAGGCCACCCTGGTGGGCAGGCGCCCCCACAAACCTCCTGTGGCAAAGCAGACTGAGTTGGAGCCCAGGCTGGGGAGGTGACCCACGTGGCAGCAGACTGCTTCTGTTGTGGCCGCTGCTCCCCTCAGCAGTGTATTTCAGTGGATCCGCCTGTTCTGCTCCCCACTGTGTCCAGTGAATCCTCTCACCTCCACACCCCACATACCTCTGGCTTGTACCCCAGTTCTTGTATGCAAAAATAAAAGTAAATGAAACAAAAATCTTACAATAAAGGAATAATTCTTTAAAAAATGTTATGTAATGTGAAAAAACATTTGACTTCACTTATAGAAGAAATAAAAGTTAAACCTGGAGAAAAGTGAGCTATTTTTACCCAGTAGATTGGAAAACACTGAGAAGACTGATAACACACAGTGTGGTGAGGCCTTGGGAAGTGATCATGCTCACATATGGATGTTGGTCCTCCCCAATAGAAATGAATTTTGTAATATTTATAAAGATTACAAATGCATAGTTCTTTAGCCAAGTAGTCCCATAGCTGGGACATTTGCACATGTGTGAAATGATGTATGTATACAAGATTATTCATTGCATTCATTTTTATAATAGCAGAAACTGGAGCGAGCCCAAAGATTCTTCAGTGTGGGGATGGTTGCATGAATTATCAGCTTTCTACACAATGGAATATTTTGCAGCTGTCAAAGGAGTTAAACTGTCTGCTTGGAGTGATAGAGAAAAACTTCCAAGATATAATGCTCAGGGCCAGAACTATAGTTCAACTGTACATGTATAGTATCTGTTTTTTTTTGTGTGTGTATGAAAAAGTTTAATAAGTATGTGTTTTGCTAAATGCTCCATTAAAGTATTCCACATTTACTTTAAAATCATGGTAAAACATATGCAATGTAAAAGTTACTGTTTTAACCATTTTTGAATGTCCAGTTCAGTGGCATTAATTTATGCTGTTGTACAACCATCAACACTGCCCATTTCCGGGACTTTTTCACCTTCCCAGACTGAACCTCTGTCCCCATTAAACTAAAACTCCTCATTTCCCCATCTCAGTCCCTAGAAACCACTATTTTACTTTTGGTCCATGAATTTGCATTTCTAAGTGCCTCGTGGATGGACTCACGCAATCGACGTGTCCTTTTGTGACTGGTTTATATCATTGGCCTGCTGGCCTTGAGGTTCCTCCAGGTTGAAGTGTGTTTCAGAATTTCCATCTTTTTCAGACTGAATACTATTCCTCTGTGTGCAGGTACTATGGTTAATTTATCTACTCATCAGGTTTGTTCTTACCGATGACTCCATCAAATTATGACAGTCAGGGATGGTGGATCAGGAACTGGTGAGTTGAGAACAGATTTTTTTTTGGTAAAACCTTCTTTAATTACAAATTTTACTTACAGAGAAGATGTTTCAGGAATTCTTTGGGATGTCTGTGGAGAGTGGATTGTAGGTAGGCAGATGCAGGAGTAGGGGTGGGGGCTGGTGCAATACTCCAGGTGAGAAATGATGGTGACTGGTTAGGCTGGGGGCCAAAAAGGTACCGCAGAGTGCTTGGTTCTAAATATGTTTTTCAGGTCACTTGAACAAGACCTCCTGATAGATTAGCTGTGAGGTATGAAAGATAGAATCTATAGAGTTCTTCTAGAATTTTGACCTGAGCCAAGAGAAGAGCAGACCTGTCTTTGCTGACATGGGAAAGGTTGTGGGGAGAGTGGAGGGAGTTAAAATCAAAGGCTAAATGTTAGTCTGTCTTTAACACCTTTGAACATTGGCCAAGTTTTGTTGGTCAATGATCACAACAGCTAGAACAGCTTTTTCCTCCTCCACTGCAGTTATTTTTACAGGTGCTATCTGGTGATGATTCTTCCTTATGGATAATGGAAACTAAATCAGAGTGACTTGAGCTGCAAAAGAATTTATCATGTGGATTTTGATGTCTCTAGAAATCATCAACCTAGGAAGATAGAAGGAGACAAAGTGGGGAGACCAGAGCTTAAGTCTTCCCCCTGAGGTCACTTGGCAGTTCTGGCTGTGCCAATCTCCTGTCCCTTTTGCTACCTTTCCTCTCTAACCCCATCTTTCCTTTCGGTGGTTGGCCATCAACGGTAAATCCTGTGTGGCTCACCGTCAGTGCCACCTTTGAATGCTAAGCTCCTGGGGAGGTTCTTCACTCATACTTGCCCCTTCGCCTATGTCATGGAAGTCCTCAGCACCTGCTTGGTTCATAAGTAAAGAAACTGATTCTGTGCAGGAAAATTGAAATATAATCCACATGCCAATGAAAAACGGCTATTTTTTAAAAGTGCACAACTCAGCAGTTTTGGTACATTCACAAGGTTGTGCAACCACACCCACCATCAGATTGCATGTACTCTTTTGCAGGTGCTCCTGCGCGCTTCAAAAGCCCAATATTCAGATGGCAGGAGTTGATTTGATAAAGAAAATAAGAAGGAGCCTCATTATTTCTGTACTGACTCTAAGGGACCTTCTCCTAAGACTTTGGACTCTTCTTCCTAGGAGAAGAGGACACTGGAGCCCCCTGAAGACCAGTGGAGAAGTAGAATTTGGACAACTCTGTCCTGCACAGACTCAGTTTCTTTATTTACGAACCAAGCAGGTGCTGAGCACTTCCATAGACTTAGGGGCAGATATGAGTGAAGAACCTCCCCAGGAGCCTAGCATTCAAAGGACGCTGATGCTGAACCCCATGGCTGCCTGCCTGAACAGTGGGCACTGTTCCTGCTGTCTGGGCACCATTGCTGCCCTGCTCTGTACAAGGGGCACCTTGCCAGGGTCACCCAGTGAATAAGAGGCAGAGCCAGCACTCCCACAGTCCATGTGCTCTGAATCCTGCAGAGGAGGGTGAGGAGGGGACACTGTCAGTGGGTTCAGAAACTGGTGATAAAGTCTACCTAGCACAAAATTTATCTTTTTACTCACGTTGGAGTGTGCATTTCAGTTGTGTTAAGAACATTCACACGACACCCCCACCCCCTGCCCGTAGACTCTTCCTCTTGCAGAACTGAAACTCTGGCCCAGTATAGTGATTCTCCATCTTCTTTTGCCACCATTCTACTTCCTGTCACTATGAATGTGACTCCTCGGCCTCACAGAATTGAAATCATACATATTTGTCTTCTCATGGCTGGTGCGTTTTGCTGAACATAAAGTCCTCAAGGTTCCCCCAGGTGGAGCCGGTGCCAAATCTCTTGCCTTCATGAGGCTGGTGATGTTCCACTGGGCCTAAGGCCGCCGGTGCCTGTTCATCCATCCGACATGACAGCTGGTTGCTTGCACCTTTTGGCCACTGTGAATAATGCTGCTGTGAGCACGGCATGCACACATAATTGATATCCTGTTTTCAACCCTTTTGGGGTAATAGCCAGAAATTGTATTGTTGGGTCCCATGAACATGTGCTTCATTTTTTGGAGAGACTTCTGTATTATCTTCTGCAGTAGCTGCGTTCTTTTTTTTTTTTTTTTTAAAGATTTATTTACTTATGCATACAGAACTAGGGGATAGGCCAGAGGTGCAGGAGTGGTGAGAGGATTCACCAGAGACAGTGGGGAGCAGACATGCAGATTGATGAAGTACACTGCTGAGGGGAGCAGCGGGCGGGTCAGGAGAGGTCCGTTGCGCCATGTGGGTCAGCTCCTTGGCAGGGGTTTGAGCTCAGGCTGCAGTGGCTGCCAATAGCTTCATAGTGCTGTGCTGTAACCCGTTGTGCCACCAGGGAAGGCCCAGCTGCGTTATTCTACATTCCTACCAGCAACGTGCAAAGGTCCCAACTTCTCTATGTCCCACAAACACTGGTGTTGACCAGAAAAACTGGTGACTCCCCATAGTCCACCCAGCGCTGTGTTTGTGTGTGCACGTGTGTGCATGTGTGTGCGTGTGTGTGTGTGTGTAATGGGGATTTGGATGTCTCTGTATTCCCAGGCCCAAGATAATGAAGTCCTGAGGGTGAGTGAGTCAGTCTCTCATCCTTGCGGTCCATTGAGAATACTTGCTCCTCCCCTAGGCCTCCCTTGTCTTCCCAGATACTGATCCAGCCCCCTACTCTGGACACATGAGTCCAGGGGTTCTCTCTGTGCTCCTGTCTTAACCATGGAGGAGTCCATGTCTGACTATAGAGGGAGGGCCCAGTGCCTTTTGGGGTTCCAGGAATGCCCAGACTCAGAGTGGATTAGGATTAATTTGATGAATGAATGAGCAAGAGTATAGTCTCTGAGATGGGTGGGGACTGAAAAGCCCTAGCTATTCAAGGGTGGGGAGTGTTGGGGGACACTGTTCACTGGGCCATACCTGGGTGCTGAGACAACTGCAGGCCAGGCATCTGAGGCCAAGCCTGAGGAGGCGTGGCCAGCGGAAGAGCAGGTGGTGGGCTGTTTGCACATACACTCTGCCCGAGGGGTCTGCAGCCTTGAGTGCAGTCAAGGGGATGTATCTGGCATTGGTCTGTTTGCGCAGGGCTGGTCTGGCTGAGCTGATGACCTTGACGATCACCTGTGGATTGGAGCCCTGAGCTCTGGAGCACAGGGAGGGGGACGCAGTAGGGAGAGCCCCCTCACACTCAATGTCTTGGAGCTTTGCACACACCACTCACCTGAGCTACATCTTTTGGGCTCTGTCCCACAGAGCGGAAGAGCTCTTCAGAGGCTGGAAGGTAAAAATCTCGGAAGTAGCGTAGAGTATCTGGATCAGTACTTGGGAACTCTGTGGTAGAAACCTGCTCCAGAATCTTCCTCTCAAAGTTGGTGACCACTGGTCCTGGCTCCACCAGGGAGATGCTGGGAGTAGGAGTAAGGGAAAGGGGTCTGGGTCCCATCTAACTGCTACCCCATTTTGTCCATTATGGGTCCCCATTCCTCCTCATGCTTCTCCCCATTCCTCCATCATCACGTATTTCACTCCCCCTCACCCCCCATCTCTTTCACTGCCCCCCTTTCCTTGTAATGCTTCCAGCACTGGCTCCCACCCCCCTCGTTGTCTCCCATCTCTCCCTCACTGCCCAAGTACCCGCCTCACTAGATGTTGAACTCAAGCAGCTGGATAGCCAAACTCTCGAAGAATCCCTCCAGGGCGAACTTGGAGGCTGCGTAGACATCATTGAACATGACACCTGAGAGGATTAGAGGAATGTGAGTACTTTGGGGGATCTGAGTGATAGACTTTGTGTGTCTAGAGGGTTGGAGGGTTGGGGTTCTGTGACAGAGAGAGGGTTTGGAGTCAAAATGAAAGGATATCTGGGACCGGTGTGTCAGGTGTCTGGTATCATGTGATGGAAGCATTTAGAGGTGGGATGAGGTTGTCTTGGGATGCCAAGTGCCAGCTCTTCCCAGCAGTGCTGCATCTGCCCTGGGCCCTGGAAATCCCCCTATTTCCTCCATCTTCTAACGCCCTATGTCACTTGCACATAGGTTTCTAGGACCCTTGAGGATAAGCTTGGTGTAGCAGAACACTTATCAGTGGTTGAGCAATGAATGTGGCCTCTGAGGTCAGGAGGTGCAGCTGGTTGATGGACCAAAGCAATGTGATTGAGTAACTGCAGCTTCTTCACAACAGGGTAATTTAGTTCCCTTAGTTCCTTAAGTGACTGCTGGGGAGGGGGGCAGATCCAAGGGAATTTCCAAAGGCATGAAGGGTTTGGAGGGGTTCAAAGTTCAAGGAAGAAGGTCCCAGGAGCATGGATGGCAAGTAGGTGTCCTCCATAGCAGAACCATGGCTGACATCACTAGTCAATCACTGTTCTTTTTTTGCTGTGGAAACCCAGAATCCCAAATCTAGACATCTCTGGGGCCTTGTAGGAGATGGGGCCATTTGGCAAGGAGCCTTAGGGGAAGGAGTTCTGGTGTTCTTTTGGGTCTTGGGGAGTGGATGAAAGAGATTTTTGGGGGCATCCATAAGTGGGGTTGAGGCTGGGTTGGGAATTGTCATTGCAGCATCTGTATCACCACTGCCTATTCCTGCACCATGAAAGACATAGCTAATCTATCCCAGAACTTCTTCCTTTTGAGTTTCAGAATCTTCCTCAAAACAGGCTCATTTGGACTATGAGCTAAAACCTATTTGCCATCCTTCCAACCTGAGGAGGGTAGACATTGTAGGTATTCCTGGGGGGAGGGCGGGAAGGAGGCAGCAGGCTCCCAGGGCTCACCCTGCAACCCCATGACACTGCTGACCACCACAATGTGGCCCTGACGTCTTCTCTTCATGCCAGGAAGCACAGCTTTGACCAGACGGACAGCTCCAAAAAAGTTGGTATCGAATACATCCTGCATGGCAGCAAGGCTGAGCCCTTCCAGGGGCCCTACCAGGCCCACTCCAGCATTATTCACTAAGCAGGGGTGGCTGAGTGTTACTTTAAGGTCCTCCCAATCCTTTTAGTGTCACCCTTCCAGGGGTACTCCCTGAATCATCCTACCCCCCACTCTAAGGCCAGGGTCAGTGCTGGATATTTGGGGTGGACCCTTGATGACCCTTAATACAACTTAGCATTGCTATAGTGGACCTTGAGTCTTTGATGGGGGAAGGGCTGTTGAGAACAGCCTTACCTTTAACACATGAGCAATTCAGCTCTGACCCCAAATTGCATCAAAACAGTCACACCCACCCTCCTTTGCAGGCTTTTGCAGACCATGAGTTGCTTCCTCATCATGCTCTTTTTCCTTAATGAGTCATAAAAGTAATTTTTCCAACCACATTTGGTTTTATCTATATATGAGAAGTTCCACTGAATAAAATCCACCATACCCAAGGTCTGAGATTATTTCTCACATCCTTAGTAAACTAATTGGTATTTCAGGCTCTTAGTCAACTTGTTTACCCCTTCGACTCAGGGACAGAAGTTGCCTATGAAGCAATGAGGCTTGTTCTCAGACATTTGAGCAGGTTTGCTATGATGATGATAGTTGCTAAGGCCAAGGAGGGGTGAGTGATCTCAGGGGCTACTCAGTCTCACCCAGCACGTCCACTTCTCCCTGGATGCAGCTGAGACACTGGGCCACTGACTCATTACTGCACACATCCATCTGGGCCACAGTGAGCGTGTGACCCAGAGCTTCCCCGGCAGCTGCCTCCAGCTTCTGCTTCTTTTTCAGGTCCCTCATGGTGGCCACCACTGGGAACAGAGAGCAGAGTTGGGGCAGGGGCTAGCTCCTTGTGTGTGGACTTGCATAAGCAGCCACAGAAGGAGGAAGAATCACAGGCTTACACGCTTGTATTCACCACACAACCATTAATGCATACTTGTGTATATACATTCACATACACCTCCATCCACCCACCCATTCATCAAATATTTAATGATCATCTCCTACACAACACACACATTCTAGATGCTAAGATTATTGCAAGTAATAAGATAAAATCCCTGTCTTCGTGGAATTCATAACCTAGTAGGTAAGAGGACAAATAAATAGAGAACAGATTTTTCTTGAGAAAGAAATACATAAAACCTGGCATCAACATGTGTGCATATGAGCACATGTAAGTGTGAATAGTCACCACTACATCAATATAAATTCAGATTTACTGCACAGCTACCATGTGCCAAACACTTTTATAGGCACTAATGTTAATCCTCTCAAAAATCTCATGACTTATTTTCCAAAGATGGTCACAGTATTATCTCTCATCACAAATGCCCTTCTAGAAGCTTCCCTCCCTTCCTTCAAGACATGAAATCCACTTCCTCTCTCCTTGAGTCTTGTTACTAATTGTGAAGGGATAGAAGATGGTGAAAATGTTGCTGTGTGACTTTGAAGTTTTCGAGAATGAAAGAACTCACAGGCTGTGAGTTCTTCTACAATCACTGTGTAGCAACCCAGTTGTCCTGAGGCCACCATACTGGGAGGAAGTGCAAGCTAGCCCAGACAGAGGACAACATGGAGAAATCCCAAAATTAATGGAAGGGAGAGAGAAGCTTGTCCTACCCTTAGCAAATGTTGGAACCGAGACTGGAACCTGGGTTTGTTGGAGTTGAGCTCACATGCCTGAGTGATGCTTGCACACCTTTCACTGTGTGCGCACTCAGCACACATACACACTCCTGGGAACATTCACAGATTGTTGTGAGCCTGAGTGATTTAGGATGCTGTGGTGATGGATGTGGCCACATAATCTACATGGGGCCAGGACCCAACTGCCTGGGTTCAAAATCCAGCTTCTGCCATTTTCCAGTTGGGCTACTTTTGGCAAAGACTTTTGGCAGTCTGTACCTTAGTTTCCTCATTTCTAAAAGGGGGCAAATGATAGCAACCATCTATCTAGGGTGATGTGAGGATTAATTGACACAATAGATATAAAACACTTAGAGGGTGACTGGCTCATGATAAACATTCACTAAACATCATCCTTTAGCAATTTTAGCATTCATCCAACTGCCACACTGCACAGTTTCTTCCCTGGACGCTGCCACTCAGGCTGCCACTCTCAAAGTTGTGCATGTCTCTAAGACAGAGGGCAGAGGCTGGGGAAACAGCTCTGCCAAGTGGGCCAGTAGCTTGTCTTATGTAATGGCTTTTTGCCCATGTGGGCTCTCACTGATTCTGGGTTAGAGGTTCTCATTGCTGGGGAGCAGGTTGGGCAATTTATGCCAGAGTTGTTGAAGGCCAATTTCCTTGATCTTTAAACACCCACCCCGTCTCCCACACCCCCTGTCAGGGACACTAAGAGGCTTATACAGTAATCTGGGAGCGATGGGGGAGGGAATGCCCTAAGAAAAACCTCGAGAATTCTTCTCAAAATATCCCCCATCACCCACCTCCTGCCATTTGGCTTCTTAGCACTTATTATAAAAATTTAATATCTGTATATCGTCTGGTTTCTCTCTCTTCCTCTACTACACTCCTACCCAGGAAAAAGACTTCTGTCTGTTCACATTTGTGTTCTCAGCACCCAGAATGGTACCTGGAACCCAGTAAGTATTCAAGAAATCTTAGCTAGGTTAAGCAATGACTCACAAGGATAGGTAGAAAAGGGACCTCACATGTCCTGGGTCCTCCCCCAAGCCCACAAGGACAACTGGAAGAGACGGGTCAGTGGGAAAGCCAAACTCATCCCCACCCCTCCCAGTGCTCTGGATCCCACCTTGGTAACGCTGTCTGGGGTCATGAGCCAGCATCACAGCAAGCTCCAGGCCAATCCCTGAGGAGCAGCCAGAGATCAGCACAGTCCGAGCCATGGCAGCCATATTGATCCCTGCCTGGACTCGTGACTCCTCTAGCCAGTCACTGACTGCTGCCGCCCAGCCTTGGCTCATCTGCCCCTCCTAAGCACCCTCCAAGCGATCCCCTGCAGGATGAAGGGGCCCAGGGCCCCAATTCTGATCCTAGGCAGACTACTGGAGGGAATTACTTAACCTCAACACCCCTCATTCTTTTGTCAAAAATTTCTTTTCCTCACTGCCACACTTTTTTTTTTTTTAATGGTTGTAAATATTCAGGGCTGAGTGAGTTTAGGGAGCACAGGGAACTAATCAGGGGCATTCTCTTGCAGTCTGTTCTGGACAGTATGGCTCTTCCTGGATCATTTCAAAGAGGGAAAATGGAAAAGTCAGAATGTGGGGTTAGACTTTAGGAAGAACTTCCCAGCAAGGCAAAAATTCTATGAGAGTCTTAGTCAGAGAATTCTCAGCCTCAGATGCCCCTAGGGAGGGAGGAAGAGAAGCTTGGGGAGATTCCCTTTCCTTCCTCCACCCTAGGGGCCTCCATCTCCTTCTTGGGCCAGATGGGGCCCCACCCTTTCTTCTCCAGGGACACAGAGACTCATTGTCTGAGGAGCGGGATACTAGGAGGGGGCAGAGCTGGTTTCTCTTTCCCCAAGGGGGGGGGAGCAATTCTGGGCCCAGGATACGCCCCTTAGGTTCCTGCCAGTAGAAGCTCCTTCAGATTCTGCCTGTCTGTGCTTGTTCAATTGCACTCACAGTTCTACTTCAATTAGGTGCTGTCATTGGGATGGGGGGAATCTCTGTTTCACCCCAGGAATAGCAGGGATCCATCCATGACCTCGTTGTGGCAGTCAGGGGATTTAGGGGCAAGGTCAGACCCCACATTTGATGGGCATGCTGGAAATGTTTGGGATTGGGGTATCCATTTGGGGACCAGAGAGAGGAAGGGAGAGGAGGGTTAAAGAAGGAGTGGGACAATTTATTTGAATATAAAGTTTAGGGGAACTTGAAAGTGGTGTTTTGGAATTTGTGGTGAGGCTTTAGAGGTAGTGTCAGGACATGCATTTATACAATTTGGGTGGATGAGGACTTGGGGAATGGTTGGGAACCCCATTTTGAAAACTAGGTGAGATTTGGACTGGGATTAGGATTCCTTATTTAGGGACCTGAAGCAAACGCTTTAGTGAAGGTGGTGCCTCTATTGTGGTACCTCTATTGTGCTACTATACCACTGGTACAGATGGGTGGATGAGAGTTTGGAGTGAGGGACCTCGCTTGAGGAGTGGGTGAGGCAGAAAAAATTGGTATAAAAATGTTCTGTGTGTAATTTCACCGGCATAGGTGGAAACTAAAGGTTTGAAGGAATGAAGGATATTTTTTGGGGGGCTGTTAAGAAGGTAGCATTTGAGGTAAGGCTGGGACCAGGAATTCTAAGATTGGGTGCAAGTAACTGTCTTGTTCCACTGTGGGGTGGGGCAAGAAGGGCCCAGCTTCCCGCACAAGGCTCCACCTCTAATCCGCCAATCCGCGCACAGCACAAAGTTTTCCAACTCCCCCCACCCCCAGCTGTCAGCCACCCCCACTTCTGCGAGCCCCGCCTGCCTGTCCGAGCTGCTGCTGCTGTTGGGCGAGGCCAGGGCGGGGTTTTGGGCAGTTTCAGCTCATCCCCAGTGGAGCAGCGGGCCAGCAGCGGAGAGTGAGTGCGCCGAACCCGTGGAGTCGCCGCGCCCCACAGCCTCCCAGTCGGGTCCCCGCCTTGAAAGTGGGCCCCGCTGGGATGGAGAGCAGCCTGGGCCTGGGCCAGATGCAGGCTGGCTTCCACCTGCTCCTGGTCTTGCTGCAGTTTCTGCCCTGGATACAGGCGGGTGAGCCGAGGGGAGAAGATAAATCCAGGGTGCTGGTCCCGTGAGGATCCTAGGCTGGATGGAGTTGCGAATAAGGGGAGTGCATGGGGGGAAGGCAGGGCATGCGCCTCGAGTATTGTCGATGGGTGATGTTTCCTTGCCAGTGTCCTACTCTGGGTGATTTGTGGGTGTGACAGCTGGAGGGGGGAGCGGCTTGTGACCATGTTTTACTGGTGAATACTTGGGAATGAATGCAATTTATAGGTTGTGTGTGTGTGTGTGTGTGTGTGTGTGTGTGGTCATTTGGAGTGAAACTGTGTGTGAACTTGGGTGTGGGAAATGATGGTTGTGTGAATATGGGTGACAGGGTGATCCCTAGGCCAGTGATTGTGAGTTGTGGGTATAAACGTGTGTTTGTGAGGCTGACTTGGAGAAAAATTCTTCGTGAGTCTCCGGGTGACCCTTTGAGGGGTGTGTTTGTAATTTGGAAGTGTAAATAGAATTGAATAATTCTGAGGGTAATGGTGAGTGGGCGAGTATGGGAAGGGGCTAATCGGGGACTCAGAGTTCTCTTTTCGCGTTTCCCCCAAGTGGCGTCAACCAATTCTTCCTCTGCCCAAATTGGCGCGCACCCACCTTCTCCCCACCCTCCTCTCCCCAGAGCCATGATCAGCACCATGGACAGGGCCCCGGGAGGCCCGCGGTGAGGGGCAAGGCGGGGCGGGACGCAGGGCGGGGCAGGGCGGGACGCAGGGCGGGGCTCTGGCCGGGGCAAGGCCCCGCCTGTCCAAGAGGAGCCTGGGGGCAGGCAGCACCCCGCCGGACGCAGGTGACGGCAGGGGTGGGGGAGCCCCGACGGGCAGGATGCAGAAGCGCGGAGGGAAGCTCAGGGTTCCTCTCACGGAGCCCCAGGTCCCCGAGCCGGAGCGCCGAGCCTCGGGGAGGCCCCGCCCCGGGACGCCGAGGGGGGCTCGGGAGGTGGCGCCCTGGGTGAGCACTCCCGGGGAAGGGGCAGCCGGCCGCCTCCTTCTTCCAAGGTGATCCGCGCCCCGGGCGCGGCGCCGTTCCCCGAGGCGCCTCAGGCGGCCCCAGCGCAGGTTTTCAAGGAGACTAAGGCCGTGGCTGTGCCAAGTGCGGGGGTCAGGCCTCGTGAGCAGGTGCCCGCTCCGCAAGGGCGGGGCCTCTCCTCGCAGACCAGGGCCACAGGGCCACAGAGCAGCACGCCTGCCCCAGGGGGTCCGACGACAGCCACTGGACACCCCAAACCGCCCAAGAGCCAGGAAGGCCTGCGGGCCCCGCCACGAGGCCCCGGCACGCAGCAAACGGCCCCGGGGCCCTGGGCGCCCCAGCCGGGGGTGGCCCGGGAAGGGGGCGCTGGGGCAGCAGGTGCGGCCGTGGAGGCCGGGGCGACGTCCGGACCTGCAGGACCTTTCTGTCTGAGATAAGAAAGTTACAAAGAAAACAGGAGGCCCCACGCCTGTTCCTGGGCGGGCCCCGACCACCAGCGGG